GAGAGAAAGAGAGAAAGAAAGAGAAATAAAGCATAAGATAAGATATGATATGATATGATATGATGACAAGAGACGTGCAAGACTCGGGCGGTCTTGCCGCGGACTTCGTCTATCCGTGTACGTGTTACGTATACGTGTAAAGCGCTGGGCTAGAGGCGGTACTGTACCAATAAAGGAAGGCGCGCGCTCGAGGCTCGTTGCGGAGTTTCCCAAGCTGGCTTCGGGGATTAGGTAGGTAGGTAGGTAGGTACTGGGATTACCAATTGGTTGATGTTGCTGTGCCTGGAGAGGTCTTGTGCAGTAGGAGAGATATCCAGGTCGGCCTGGTACACAAGTGGCGGATGAGTCACTTTTTGCTTTTGGGTTGTTTGCATTGCCGTTGGCATTTGCGCATATATATATATCTGATCTCATCGGCGATGTTGTCCTGTCTAGCTGGAAGTACTCTCGTGTTCATTCGTATTTGAGATCTGCGTGACGATCGGCAAGGATTGTGTTCTTGCGCTTTTGCTGCTGCTGATTCTGCTGATCATAAGAAGACGCTCGTGGAAGCATATCAACGGATTCATCGGCGTGCTCTTCCTCTTCCTCCTGCTGCTCTCCGTAGACACTCGCAAAAGCAGATTTGGAACTCTGCCCTCCCTTAGACCACCACTCTTAAATTCCACGCCGGAAGCACCTCTCCCTCCCACGTCTTCCTCGCTTATCGCTGCGGGTCTTTTTCTCGTGCGCAACTATCTTTACCTACCTACCTACTTGATCTGAAGCAATTCTGCGAACTATCTTCCATTAACTGGCGAGAAGGGGTTGTGGTGGCTCAGCGGCGTACAGTCGCTCATAGTCATGCATGTCTCCATCTATCTCGTCGGTTTGATTTCGTACATAGACCGTCGGAACCCCCTATTTATTCAATTAGGTTTGTAAACTGGACCACTTTTTATAATAAATAGTATGTGAGCTTGCAGCTGAGCTTCGCAGAGTTTTCCTGTTCTTTAAATTTTGTAACAATTGTTTATTTTCACATCAGTATTCGTTGATACTCATTGCAGGAGTTTAGTGGACTGACTGTTGTTGGTTGCTATTGTTTTTTTTTGTTACTGTTTTGCCGAGTGGGTCTCGCTCGCTTACGCTGCTGCGCGGCCGAACTGCTACCCGTCGTCTATGTATGTATCACTCACTCAATCATAGCCAGTGCCAGAAGACCATTTAATAGGGAATTACACGACGTGAGTTAAATTCAAGAAGAAACGAAGAGACCAGCAAGAGCTTCGCCAGTCTTATATGTACTGTAATATACTAAAGCCCTTTTCCCAGGCGCTAGCTACTCTGTATATATATATATATATATATACATAGATATACTTCTTTTTTTTCCGATACTCATTAACCAAATCACTCACTTCCTTCCTCCACTTACTTGGGCGAACGGCAGAAGCCCGACACGAACATGCTAATCCCACACGAGCTTGTAGAGGCTCCACACTCTACTGATGATTCCATCCCCGAAGCCATGCCCTGTCTATCTCTTGGCTCGCCTGCCCATGACCAAGTAGGTAGGTAGGTAGGTACCCCCCGGGCGAAGCCTCCCCAGGTGCGCGTTATCCTCTTCTTCCGTGGACCGACCACACGAAGGCCTTCATCTCTTCATCCCTCTACTACTCCCCAAACACGCCTGGATACAACATACATAGCCCGTCCTGGTCTCCGCGACCAAAAAGAAAAAAAACCCCCCCAAAAAACCCCCATATACCTCTCTCCACTTCTACAGCGTCAGCAGCGAGATTTTTCCCTCATCGTCCACGTCGGCATTTCCTGATGTTTGATTGATATATTCTCTCCCCAGCGGGTCCGCTTCCAAGTCCTCCAAAAGAAAGCAAAAAGGTGCGTATTTGCCACGTCCAGAAGGCGCATCTTGCATCAATCAACGGATGGCAGCGGCCTCTTTCTCCACAGGCCCCATTCTAGTGGGAGACGTACATGTGCCGACACGGGAGCCTTTTTTCCCTTCTTCTTCTTCTTCTTCTTCTTCTTTCTTTCCTTCCCACCCC